AAAATTACTGACTTTATACATTTATTTCAAAGATGTTGGCAGTCAGCATTAGGCTCTGTTTTAATAAGTATGATGAGAGCAGAATCACTTATTCTCTTTGACATGCAGTTGAGAAGGAGTTCTTCATTCTGAGAACACAGCTCTGCAGAGAAGCAGTCCTGGTGTTTACATCAACAAGTGATGTTCAAGTCACTGATGTACATATATTTTTCAATAAGTTTAATAATATTATTATGAAATTGAAAATACTTGATATTTTACTCTCAAATAATGTGGTATTCTACATCTTCTATTCTATACTTCTCAATATATAATGAAACTATATGCAAAAGAAAATTAAAGAGGTATAATAGTTTAAATCAAAATTTATTATGTTGAATATTCATTTGATCATGAAGGAAATATACTCTTAATTGAACCTCTTTAAAGAGGTCAAAAAGACTGCTCAGATGACTAATTCTTCAGTCAACATAGCTCAGACTGAAAATGTAGCTGTGAGTTTCAATAGTAGCAGCAACATTCAAAATAATTTAACCTGTAAGAGCTGATTTGGAGAACATGAAAGCTATTGAATAAATGAACATTCAAATTCTGACCTTTTAATTTGTCTGAAATATGAATATCATCATGATGAGCTCTGCTAAGCAGTTAATCTGAATAGCATCTCTGAAGAATGAAGAACCATCAATACATTGAGAATAGAGAAATATAATAATAAGAAGAGTAGTGAGTACAAAAAGACTCTGTCAACTGCAAATGACAGCTTCAAGACATTTCAAATGATAAATTTAGTGCAGGTCATTGAGGTGTCTGTATACTCTGCTGAATCAATTATCAACTTACTCATCATATGAGATAGTGAGGTCAGATGTCATATTGTGTGTGATTGATTGTGATTTTCCCAAATAACAGAGGTTAGCAGCTCTATGATTCAAGTGGTCAATAAGGCTATCTTGAAGGTTCAAGAAATCAGAGTCACCTTCATCCCAGTCAGAGAAAGATTAATCAAATTCAATCATGTCTATTTGATACCAGGCTTATTCATCAATCTTATATTCACTGATCTATTGAAGTGTCAGAGCTATATTCATTGTGATCTGCAGGCGAACACTGGAAATTACTTTGAGATAATAGCATTTACAGAAAATGATATCTTCTATGTGAATTTGAATTCCAATAATATATATGTTCTATCTAATATTTTTTTTATATTTGAGGATATTATGAATGATCTAAAGCTTGAATCACTGATATACTTAATAATTTTAAAGCTCAGAGTGATTTTAACAGATTATGATCTGAATACTACATCACTGAATCTTTTCAATCATGATGATATGGAGCAGCTAATTAACCTAAAGGATCTGAATACTGATACCTTCATTTTGTTTTCATCAACTTGACTATCTATCATTATGCTGAAGCAGCTATCAATTGACAAGTGATATCAACAATTGAGCTATATTGATGAGAAGAATCTAATTAAAATATTGTAGAAGTCTCATTTCAGAATCATCATCATTAGTCTGAAGAAGCTCTTATTCTACATCATGTGTATTAAAGTCATGCATAAATGTATAAGTTATAAAAATGCTCTACTACACTATGCCACTTACAAAGATCTTAAGATCTGAATGAATCTATTTGAGAGTGGAGAAACATTTGGTAATGAAAAAGATACATCATCTTATATAGATAAGAAGCTCATGATGATAATCACTGATGATGTCACATGAATGTGATGAATTTTCTATTGAAGTATCACAATGAGACTCTAAAATATATATAGACCTTCAATCAATTTATGAAAAATCTACTTAATCATGATATTGTAATTATTTACTCTAATTGTGATGAGTTGAATTCAAACACTGCAGTTATCTATATAATGAGTGAGAGTATTAAATAAAAATCAACTCTGTCTCACACTTCATAGCAAGATGATGTGTTCAAACATTCTATTAGCTTAATTATTAAAAAAGTCTGAATGTTATTAATAGATTTCTCCTCCTCTTATGAGATATAGAGTAAGGTAGTAATTGTGATAACTAAAATGCTTAATCTTATATCAATATCAGTCAAGCTCTATAACAATGTAGAGAATTTAGATCTGAAGCTGATTATCTCATATAAAGCTTGGCTCAGAGCCCTGTCCTCCACACATAAGATTCACTGATGAGGGTACAAAGCTTATTTAAAAATAGTACTTAAGTTAAATATGAAGATGGCTTTGCAATTGCAGAAGCTTATATTTACAGGCTATGATGACTTTACTAATTATAAATTGACTAATTCTTCTAATGATCATCTTTATACATTGAAAAATGTGATATTTCAAGAAGATCTTCATTTGACAGATTCTCTGACTCTGTCTAAGCAAGATGTCAAAAATCTATCTTTTATTGTCTGTATAGTCACAGTTGTGATCTTCTTCACTCAATACAATTTATCAACAAATGATTTCATAATGGACTGAGAGTTTCTATCTACTCTTTCAATATTTCTACACTCTACAAATAATTAATCAATAGACTATAAGATTACTGTGTGAATTCTGATATTTTTGATGCAGAATACTACTGCTCTCTCAGAATCTGCTTTAGAGATGAAAAATTCTTCAATACTCACTAAAAATATTACTTCAGTAAAAGAGATCTCAGTAAGAGATTTTACTGATAATTTGACTGACATCTCTGCAGACTCTGAGATCACTGACTTGTCAATTTCAAAGAACTTCATCTAGACTCAGGCATCTATAGATTGGAGATATTACTTTCATATCTGTGTTAAGAAGATTAATTATCTCAAGTAGATTGATGCATAGTAACTAGTTGAAAGGACTCCAGATATAATGATTCTATATAATCAATGAGTGTTCAATAAAAAGATTAATAATACAGGTAGAATTGATTAATATAAGATTTGCTGAATAGTCTGCAGCAATTATCAAGAAAAAAGTATTAATTATTCAAAGATATTCATATTAATTGTATTGACCTCTACTTTCTAAGTGCTTATGATAATCTCAGTATTCTGAGAATGATATATTCTGCAGATTGATATAGTTACAGTGTTCTTAAATACTCAGCTTCTCATCAATGAATATATATATATATATCAATTTGCTGAGTTTTACAAGAGATATGATAATCTGATATGTAAATTGATATAAGAACTATATGATCTAAAGCAAGCAGCACTATTATGATATTAGAAGCTATGAAAAATGCTATTAGAAATAGACTTTTACATCAGTTCTCATGACATCAGTTTTTTTATAAATGATGTCTGCAAGATCTATATAATCATCTACATGAATGATGTTTGCCTATACAGCTCAAATATATCAGATATTGAATAGACAAAAGTCTAGATCACTGCTAATTATGAGATCAAGAATGTGAGCAAATCAAACTGGTATTTGAGTATGAAAATTGATCAGAATGCTGAATCATTTTTATTATCCCAGTTATTGTTCATAAAGAACCTGCTTGAGAAATTCTCAATGAATGACTGCCACTCAACATCCTTTTCTATGAAGGAGAATGTTGATTTCATGAGTGATAATAAAGAACTAATTGCTTATACAGCAGAATTTACATTATATTCTTATCATATAATGATTGACTCTCTGCAATATCTTACTGTCAACACATACTTTGATAAAAGCTTTGCTGCTGACTTTCTAGAGAGATTCAGCTTCTGCTCTACCTTAAAGAATTGAGTAGTATTTAGGTAAATTCTTAGATATATACAAGACACATCTGACATATGTGTGTTCTACTGAAAAGATGTAAATATAGAACCTGTGATGTTTACTAATGCTGATTGAGTGAGCTGTGATCTGAGTTCCTGCTCTATCATTGAATATGTTATTTATATGACAGGAGATTCTGTTGCTTGATGAAGCAGCAAGCAAATAGGCATTTCAAAATCATCTACTGAGGCTGAATATATCACATTCTCAAAGACTGCTTACAAGTTTGTCTGCCTCCAGGAATTACTAGAGGATACCAGCTTCATGCTATCTTAGCTTAATAATTTTGATGATAATGATGGCTTGATCAAATCACCAGTCAATAAGCTGATATATATGATTTGAATAGATAATAAATTGGTGATTGAACTGATCAAAAGTGAGGCTATTTCACACTGATCTAAGCATATAGAGATCCGCTTCCATACTCTTCAGAATCTTATCCACAAGAACAAGATCTTGATTGATTACATTCTGTCCACTGAGAATGTGGCAGACAGGCTGATCAAGCCACTTGAGGTAACTAGATACATTCTATGATGGCAGATATTAGAAGACACAGTAAGCAGGCAGAAATGATTATATAGAAGAAATGACTGATTTTTCAACAATATGGGTTTTCCAGTCAAATTATGTACTAATACCTAGCTACAAGCTATTTTTTGTATGTAATCTCGTGTATAATTACATCAGTGAGTGGGGGTGTCAGGCCTATCTGCCTTCTTATGTAATCCGCACCATATATAACTTCCGCGTAGCTAGCGATCGCTTTATAATCAATCAAGCAATCTATCCTTCACAAAAAAGATATAATAATATGGCAAGGGAATGCGCGGCTCAAAGGAATCATTATTTACAAATGGTTAAAGGTAAAGGAGGCAAGAAAATAATAAAGGCAAGACAAAAATGTTCAGACAAGTAGATTTTATGCCACAAAAAAGGAATCAAAACTAATGTGCCGCAAGAGATGACTTCTGAAGTTATAAAAACATTTAGAACAAAGAAAGAAAACCGAAAGAGGATGGGGATGAAGAGCAGAAGAGAAAAAAGGGGGACTTCAAATAAAAACACAAAAATGTAACTGACAAGGGGGAAATAAAACGCCAGAGGCAGGATGCTGATACATTAGTTATTAGTTACATCATCAATGCCCACAAAAGCATATGCAGAGAAAGGGGAAATGTCAAACAAAAAAGCACCTGTCAAGGACCAAAATTAAAATCAAACACCAGGAAAACAATAATCATACAACGGGCCTCGAGCTCGCCATCTCCCCATACCTCCCTCGAGACCTAGTGGTATCATAAGCATTAACAACCCGCATCTGTCCCCCCTCGTCTGCCTGACTAAACGCATATCCCCTCTGTTTCCGATTCCGCTGTACCTGGCGCACTTTACGAATCGCTTTCTGAAACTGCTCCATACGCGGTCTGTAGTCTTGCACGTTATATTTCTGTATTTCCTGCACGTGGTGATACGCCTGTGGAAAATACATGCGCTTCATGTACTTCCAAGCGAAATCGCGCACGAGGCAGACGGCCGGTAAGACGACGGCCATGAGCCAGAAAACAGGAGACTGGAAGAGGTTAGGGATAATACCTAGGTATTCTGTCGAAAAGCCGGAGCCGATGTTAGGGGCTGTGAAGCCGTAGATAGGTAGGAAGACCATCCAGATTATCATCGATCCCGGGATGGCAAGGACTGTGTATTTGGTCCAAATATTGGTGACTAGGGCAGCTTTTCCGAGTACTGTGGCGAGGACAGCTGTGTACAGTGCAGTTCCCCAGAACCAGTGGCCAGCAATTTTGCCGTTTGAGAGAGGAAGATCATAGAGGAAGATTGCCTGTGAAAGGAAGTAGGCGAGAAGAGAGTGATAGAAGCCATTGCCAATCCAAGACCAGAAGCTATGCATTTTGAAAAAGACACCTTTCTGGCCAAGTTGGTATAGTTGCGGATATCTGTCGAGAAGTCGGGCGGAGATGAACTGGTCAAAAATGCCCATGGCAAATGGAGGAAGGACGGTAAAAAAGACGTTATAAAATGACAGAGTCCATGATTCGTAAATAACTTGGCCGGAAAATGAATTTTGAAACGAGTACTGTCATGCGAGCATGTTAGTTAAGGCTACAAATTTTTCAAAGAGGTAGAAACGTTGGTGAAGCAACATACCCAGAATTGAGTCATATACAATGCAATATTTTTGTAGAATGAATACAGAATGACTTTGCTAATGCGTTGATAACTCCAAGCGCCATGAACAAGAAGCAATTTTCGAAGAAAGCGGAACTGAGCAATTGATACATCGGCGCTTCGGGCAGCTTGGAGACCTTCAACTCCACTAATACCGACACCCACATGGGCGGCCTGGATCATGGAAACATCGTTTGCGCCGTCGCCAATGGCAAGGAGCAAAGCTTTCAGATGGCGTTTGACAAGCTTGACAACAAGTGCCTTCTGCAGCGGAGATACACGGCTAGTTGCGGAGTTAGTCTAGCGGCAACTGCGGTGACAACCACTCACAGAAGGTGGGGGATAATACATACCAACAAATGACAGCTTTGCACATAACAGCCAAGTCCAAAAACAACTTCTCCATATCCTTTTCCAGAGCATATGTAAGAGATTTGCCGTCAATAATCAAGGCTAATGTCTCCCTATCTGGGGAACTAGCCTGACTTTGAACTTGCTGCAGCTTTTTGGTGAGGTTCTCTCTTGTCCCCTGCGCAGATTCTTCGTTGACAATCAGCAAGGCCATGTCTTCTGATATCAACTTGCAACTCATGCCGATGTTAATTGCGGTTTCTTGTCTGTCACCAGTCAAAACCCAGATTTTAATGCCGGCAGTTTGCAGGGTCTGGATTGTATCTGGAACCCCATCTTGAAGCCTGTCTTCAATGGCTGTGGCACCGAGAAGATAAAAATCCTTCTCGATGATCTCTGCGGCCTTGTCAAGTTCCTCCGCTCTGTTTCCACTAACAGTTGTCGCGGCTTTATCGAATATTTGATACCATTTTTGGAATTCTTCTTCAGGCACCTCTCTCATAGCCAGACACAGCGTCCGGAGACCTTCGGAAGCGTACTCCTCAAGATGTTGAAGAGTGGTGTCGACAATAGGATTATCCTCATGCAGACGTTCCAGGATCACAGTATCAGCTCCCTTGCAGTAAATCCTAATTTTGCCGTCTGGACACCTGAAAATGGTGGACATGCGTTTTCTCGTTGAGTTGAATTCGCAGACGGCGAGCAGCTCGAATTCTTGCTCTTCACCGTTGGCGGAGATGATAACGGACTTGGGCCGTCTGTTGGTAAACCTATAACCCAACATGACTGCGCCTTCAACTAGCGCCCCTTCATCGGGCGAGGCGGCTTGATATTTAATATCATCGGGTTTTTCATCCTTCCTCTCAGGAATGACAGTGTGGCAAGTAGCGAGAAGGGTAAGGAAATGGTGGATTGCCGTTCGGGTGGGATGTGACTTAAGATTTTGGCTCAGCTGTTTAAAATCATACATCCCAGTATCGGAATCATCACCATCCATCGCTCTTCTGTCTTCTGGAACAACTTCAGCATATTGAATGCCGCCAATAGAGCATTGCTTAAACTCCATCACATTGCATGTCAGTGTGCCCGTTTTGTCCGAGAATATATATTCAATTTGGCCTAGCTCTTCGACCAAGGAAGAGGTGCGGCACGTGGCGGGTGTATCGGTTGTGTCATAGTAAATATCTAGATCGGAATTTATGAGGAAGGCATGACAATACTTGACTATTTCAATGGTAACAAAGAGAGATATAGGGACGAGGTTAGAGTAGAGGACCCAATATGTGAATATATCGGAGAAGAACTGTTGAGCCGCATTGACATTTCCGTAATATAGGTAGGTGAGTTGACTGGCAGATTTTATGCGAACGACCAAGTCTCCGATTGAGCTGATCAAGCTGAGACTAACCAGGATGGCGACAAGCATGAGAATTTGCATGTTTACCATGCGCTCGACGGCGGTTCGTTTGATGGGTGTTGCTGTCGCATTCCTCATCAACTTTGTTTCGTGACCAGTAAAAACAACCATGCCATGAATCCAATGAGTATTACGCAAAGTAGCACCACGGAGGAGGAGCTGGTCGGGAGCAAGGGGGAACTCCTTCTCTCCACCGCCTGACTGCAGCGTCACGGTAGCCTCGTACGTATAGAGACTGGAATTTGGTTGTTCAGATTTGACCTTTCCCGCAAGCCTACTGAGTTGACTGGGGCTGACAAGATCGGCCGTTTCTGGAATGGCTTGTTTGATTTTGAGATTCGTTTCGCCATCTAAGTTCGCGGTTTCGATATAGCAGAGACCTTCTGGTTCGGAGCTTGCTAACAGGACCAGGTCCGCAGGGAAAGGCTCCTCAGATTCGACTCTAACGATATCGCCTACTGCTACGTCGACCCATTTCGTAGCCTCAAAAGTCGAGCCCTTAAGAACCTGCGCCCTCGAGTAGTTGAGGCCTTTGTCTGATGATTTTCGCTTCAAATCTTCAATCAGCTCTTTTATAGCTGACACTAATAGCACGATAATGAGAGGGGCAATGGTAGTATATCGATTAGTCGGGGAGATGTTTGGAATTTGCTGGAGGACGGCGGTAAACAAGAAAAACAAGTTCGCGTATTTGGAGAATTGTTCGAATAAGAATTTCGGGAGAAAGGTAAAGACATTGTACTTTGCGGTTGATATATGGTTATCCACATATTTATTTGCAGCATTCGCCGGTGAGTTGTTAAACATAATGATGCGGGGGCCCAATGTCGACGGATCAATTATGCGTCTCCCGAATCCAAACTTGAAATCCCCAGCCCTGAATTTCTTCTTGGGCTTGGAAGTTGTTATGTCATCTTCTGTTCCTGCAGTGTCGGCTGTCGTTGCTCTGGCTCCCGTTTCCGTTAAGGGTAAGTCCATTTCTGAATACTCAGGCCCCATGCCTAACATATACTTTGCTCTCCCTACCAAGCTGCCGCCCAGGTCATTATGCTATTCCGATCCCTTGCCCGAGAATCTCTTAAAGCAACAGCACCGCGCAGGTTACTTTGGTCGTTATAGTAACCTTGGGCTGACCGCACATCATCAAAATCGTTCAAGTCATCTGAATATCGCTGGTAGTTGTGCAAATCTGAGGTCTGAGAATAGTTTCGATTGGCTCCACCCTCACCGTAGAAGTGGCTTGCTCCGGGTGGAGCCTGGAGACAGGCTTGGACACCTCCCGCTGCATGGTGCGCTCCAGCAGCCTGAGCCGGATGCCCACCCCCAACAAACGCATCATACGATACTGACGTTCTTGGTTGGGGTTCGTCGGAATCGTCGATGTTGTATTGTTCTAGGAGATGGTCGTCTGTAACGGGAGGGCGCTGACCGGAGTTATACACGGAGGGCGTGCGTTCAATATGTACGAAGTCATCATCGCTTCCTGGGGACGGACGATGCTCCGGTGGCCTTGCACTTGTCATGTTGCGGAAAGAGATGGCAAAACCACTGCGAAATAGATGCGATTTGGTGGTAGCGAAGCATTGGATGGTGGCTAGTGGAAAAGAAGATTGGCGTCAAGCCTGGATTGAAAGCCTCCAGGCAAACAAGTAAGGGTTGTATGTGCGTTTATTCTACAAAGTTTGACTTCCCCAAAAACAAAAGATAGAAAAGTCATTAGCATATGCCATATCGTATCCAAAGGATGTTCTCGTTAAAGCGTTGTCGTTAATCGGCCAGCGGTCTGTCGCAGTGGGACGTTTTGCAAGTCGCCAGTGAGGCTCAGCCGGTTTGCACTGACCAAGCCGTACTGTACAGTACATACGTATGTTCGGTACTAACTCTAAATTTTTATTACTGGTACCGTATCATAAGCATCCAATCAGAGCCTATTTACTTTGATTTTGGTATATACGGTAATGATATTAAAATACACATTTACAAGCTTTGTGCCACAAGGCAATAACTTAATAGGAGTACGGACTATAGTTTTCTACAACGACAGATTATCTGATTCCATGCAAAAGTGACAAGAAGACATCTTGAATTCCAAAGTTGGCAAAACGGATTTGAAGGATAGTTAGCTGTTTTGTCAAGGTTCACTTTCTTTAAGCAATTTCAAACTCACTCCACCAGCCCCACTTAGTATTTGAATAATCTCATTAATTTTGTTTCAAAAATACTTCATATGTCAAGGACAACTGAGGGTGGCAGAGACTGGACAAGAGACAATCTTATTTTCATTTAATTGATCTTATATTCAAGAAATTGTGCTTTCTTCTTCAGAGCTTGTTAAAGTGGGCTTCTAGTTATTTTATCTGATAATTTAATAATAATACTTTCATATTCAATATTAAAGTAAATCATTTAATGTGACTTCTCACTCAATAAGTTGTATATTTTAATTCAACATATTTATATTCTTTCACCTTTAACGCGTTCAAATGTCAGTCAATAAAACTCAAATTAAGCTTGTAATGAAGAATTTAAGAGCTCAAAATATCAAAATTTTACTGCTACTGCTAAAAAATATTCAATTAACAAGAAATATTGCATTAATATTATAATGATATTTAAATTTCTCATAATGAAATTATTTTTAAATATAAGAAAAAGTTTAAAAAATTCTCAAAAAAAAAAAAAAAAAAAAAAAAATCTATTGCTTTATATAAAGAAGTTTATTATTTATAAATTAGTTTCTATATCATAAATTATTTAAGAAAAAGTTTAAAAAATTATTAAAAAAATTATAATAATTAAGTAAATAATATATTTTATAATATAATTTAAGAATTAAATTAAATCTATTCATATTTATGAAATTAATCAAATATAAAAGATTATAAATATTTTTACTTATTTTTAAATATTATTTTAAGTTTATTATTTAAAATTTAATTTACTTTTAATATTTTATTTTTATTATAAATATTTTTTAATTATTTAACTATTTAATTATAATTATATAAAAAGATTAAAAAATAAAATATTATATTATTAAATATTTATAATTTTAATAAAAAAAATTTTATAATTAATATTAAATAAATTATTAAATAAATTATTTTAATTAAATTTTTGAAGTTAAAGCAGATTATTATAATTTAAGATAATAGTTAAAAATTTATCTTTTTACTTATTAAAATATATAAAGATAAAATAATATTTTTATTAATTTTAATTTATAAAAAAAAAGTTTTATAATATATTAAATATATAATTAAATGATTTAAATAAAAATAATTCAACTTATTTTATAGTTTTTAACAATAGTTGAAGTAATGATAACAATGATATTGATTAATTAAAGTATATATTCAACAAATATATTTAAAAAAAATAATAATAAAGAATATCTTTCTATTTTAAATAATTATTTCTATTATATAAATATAATATTTATTAAATTCATATATAAAAATTAAATTCTATTTATTATTATATTTTTATACTCTATTTATTAATTATAATCACTAAATATTAAAATATTTAATTCTTTAACTAATGTAATTTTTCTTATAACTTAACTAAAATTAAAATAATAATAATATAAAAGATTTAATTCATTTATTTAATTATATAACTATGATAAAAATACTAAATTGAAAATTAAAATAAATCAATTTTTAAAGTAAAGATAATAAAAAATTAGAATAAATTAATATTTTAAAGTATAATGATATAAATTAATATTATTTTATATATAAATAGCTATATTATAATATTACTCTTTAATTTAAAAGAGTACTTACTCTCAAGCAGTTGTGTTAAAGTAAAAGCAAGTAAAAAAAAAAAAAAAAAAAAAAAAAAAAAAAAAAAAAAAATTATTAAATTTATTAATAAATTAATTATTTTAATTATTATTCATTAAATTTTTATATATTTTTTTATATTTTATCAACAGAGTTATCATCAAATTTTTATCTAAAGACTGAGATTTATTAAACATTTGATAATAATAGCTTAGAAGAATATAAATAAAAATAATAATTTAATTTAATGATTATTAAATTTATAATATATATAGCTGTTGTTTTAATAGAAAGTATAATAGAAAATTAGATAAGAAGTTATTAGTATTAAATTAAATCTTATAAAATTAAAATAAACTAAGTGAATAGAACAAGTTAAATAATTTGAAGTGAGTAGAGCTATTAAAGCAAGCTGAGCTATTGAAGTAAGCAAACCTTTTAAAGCAAGCAAAACTATTGTGATGTCAAGACTCTATACTAGCTTCTTGTCTTCACATTACTTATCATACTGCTTATCAAAGTACTTTAAAATCAACATCTTTTAGAGAATCAGCATCATCTCAAAATTCAGTATTCAGAATCAGTACACATCAGCATTTCTCAAAAATCAGTTCTTTAGCATCAGCATTTTCTGAAGAATAGAATCAGCATTTCATGAAGATTTAAATTACTCTATTACTAATTTCTTATTTTATAAAAGATTAAAGATAAAATATATTACTATTTATTTATATATATAAGTATTTTGAATCTTTAAAGTTCCTTCAAAAGATTTAGTAGTTAGCTACTATTCAATTCTATATATATATTTCATCTATTGCTATTCTCTTCCCTTCATAGCACTTATAGTATCTATGCACTTCTTCTTTTATAATATTAGTTATAGAGCTTCTCACATTTTCTTTTGATATTTAATTTATTCATCATTGTATTCTTATAACTATTAATTGAGCTGAGCTATTAAATAAAGTAAACTATTGAGTAAGCTAAGCTATTAATTGAAAAATATATAACAAATATGAAGAGAAGAAATTAAAAGTTAACTGCTGAACAATATATATAAATTTCTTATAAATTCAAAGAAGACTTATATGATGTCAAAACTTTCTATACTAGCTTCTTGCTTTTATATTATTTACTAAAGCATTTCAAAATTAGTATCTTCTTACACTGCTTATTAAAGCACTTTACAATTAGCATCTTCTAAAAAATTAGTATTATTGTATAATTCAGCACTTCAGAATTAGTATAAATCAATACTTCTCAAAAATTAATTCTTTAGAATCAATATTTTATAAAGAATTAAATTACTATACTATTAATTTCTCATTTTATAAAAGATTAAAGATAAAATTTATTATTATTTATTTATATATATAAATACTTTAAATCTCTGAAGCTACTTCAAAAGATTTAATAATTATCTATTATTCAATTTTATATATATATATTTTATTTATTATTATTTTCTTCCTTTTATAGTATTTATAATATTTATATATCTACTTTTTTATAATTCTAATTATAAAGCTTCTTATACTTTTTTTGATACTTAGTTTATTCATTCTAAGCGTTCTTATAACTTGACTATTAAGCTAGATAATTATAAATTAATATACTAAGATCTTAATAAAATTAGATATTTTTAAAAAATCTAAATAATTTTAAACTTTAATCTCATAGAGAATATATTCAATCTTAGCAATATAGACTATTGAAAATTTATTCAAAATTATTAGTGAGAATTTTAAATAGAATTGAGATTGAGATTGAGAGCTATTTAGAACTATTAATTTTAATAATAAAGCTTTTGAATAGCACTTTCAAATTTCTAATAAAGAGTTATAATAAAAGCTTTTAAATAAAAATAAATATAATATTAAGATTTTTTATACTAGTTTCTTGTTCTCATATTACTTATTAAAGTATTTTATAATCAGTATCTTCTAGAGAATTAGTATTATCTCAAGATTTAATACTTTAAAATTAATATTTCTTAAAAATTAATTTCTTAAAATTAATATTTTATGAAAAATCAAATCACTATATTGCTAATTTTTTATTTAATAAAAAATTATAGATAAAATCTATTATTATTTATTTATATATATAAATACTATAAATTTTTAAAAATTTTTTAATAAATTTAATGATTAGCTACTATTTAATTCTATATATATATTTTATTTATTATTAATTTTTATTATTCTCTTATCTTTATAGCACTTACAGTATTTATACTTCTAATTTTTTTTGATATTAATTATAGTGCTTTTTATATTATTTTTTTTGATATTTAATTTATTTATCTTTAGTATTTTTATAATTTATAATCACTATAAAAGAGATTATTTATTAAGTCTATAAAAATAAATCTGAAATATAATCTATAAATTAATATCTTTTA